GCCACCTATCTCACACAAATTCACATAAAATGACTTTGTTTATTCGCTCAACTCAAATCATCTTGAATTTATGCGAAATACATTGAGATAATTTAAAAAAAAATCGATAGCTGTACCACTATTGCTATACAAAACTATTGAAAAGTTTTAAAAGGAATTTTTCAGAGAGTATTAAGCGTGACGAATTTTTGGTAAACAAAAATTGTTTACTCCGCAGAATCATTCTAGGAGTAATGAAGTATTATTTTTATTTACTGATTATTTATTAGCTGAAATAAACTTTGCTTTTATCTAGTTTCAATCAAATGCTAAGAACTCTGCATAGATCTCCAAACACTTGCAGGAATTTGTAAGATTTTAATTAGGATACGATAAGTTAATTGAGATATGTGCATATGTGTGGTATATGTGCAGAAGATAAATATAATAAATTGACTGATTTAATATTTTATTTAAATTAAAATATTATCTATTTTATCTTTATCTGTTATTATCTATTTTACATCCCTTAACAATAATAATAATATTATCTATTTTGTTATCTATTATCTTTATCTATTAATATAAAAGAATAAATTCAGCATACATAAGCCGTTCATTTCTCTCTTTCACTAATGCTCTATGCACAATAACTTCCATATTACTTCTCGAGGAAGTTCTTATAGAAGAAAATTCTTAAGTGAAAACACATGATTTCTATGGCATGTGATTTGTAGTCTAAAGCAGGACTGTCCAAACCAGAAAAGATTGCGGGCCAATTCGAATCATTGAATAGATTGAAGAGCCGTAAAAATAAATAGATAGGTTTATAATTTTATTAAACATAAAACAAAAATATGGTGTTTGCCATATGATATTTTATTTTTAATGTAATTATTTACGGCACTGGATACCATAAATAAATACTAAAGTCTTTGTCAAGTAATTATTTAAACGAAAAGGGTAATAAATTTTTTAAAACATTTTAATTTATTTATTTGGCATGTCATGAAAATAGTATAATGTATCGAAATATAACAAAGAGAATATTGCATAAAAATTCGCACAAATATTAGCCATAGACCACATTAGGCCCATGAACCGTGCTTTGGGCAGCCCTAGTGTAAAGAATTGAACTTTTTTTTGAACTGTGAAAACTATGAGAGTTCGAGTTTCACTATATAATTGTTCAAACAAAGCAATCTATTGAAACTTTTTTCTTTGTAAAAATTAGTACAGAGGATTTTTAGATATTTTAGAAATTCAAGATATTCTAAATTATTTTGAACTATTTGATATAAAACGTTTATCCGAACTTCTTGAAGAGTTCTATCGTACAGAGAAGTACAAAGTAACTCTTACTGCGTTAGATAATCCCATAGACCCAAAACTGAGCAAATAGCTTCTCTAACTTGGTAATAGACCCATTGTTCTTACTACATATGATATAAAACAAACCCAAAAGGATCTTAACGTTCACTAAAAGACTTATCGATTAAAACAACTGGTGATCGTTCGTGCAAACGAACGATTACCTGAGATGTGGTAAAAAGTATTACCCACATATTAAAATTAATAATAGTAATTAGATGACGTTAGATTACTTTAGATTACTTTAGCTTACTTAAATAATTACTTGAATTCACTTATTTATCTAAGTACTTTCATTTAGTCGTAGACTTCAAAAAATAATTATTAATAATCATAAATAATCGATTGTTAATCTAAGTTTCAGTTGACCATATTAGATTCATTAAGTCCCTTTAAAATAAACCAATGCATTACAATGTATAAGAAGGGTCTTTTAATTGAGGTCCCTTCAAATTGATCCCTTAAAGGATCAAATAAAGTAATTATAATTGATAATAATATGGTTGTAAATGGTTTTTATGAAATAACATCTCTCTTCTTCCATATTTTTCTCCTAATGTTTTCCAATAAATGAAAACGTAATAACATTGTAGGGTCACAGCTGATACACCCTGTATTTGTTCGCACTTAATGAAGTGTAAATGTATGTATTTTGCAATATTTATGCGTCATTATTTTGGGGTTCGGAATTTTCAATTCTTTTGCTTATGTGTGCGCTTTTATTATGATATTTATGACGATAATTTCGCGTTATATGAGCTCTACTTATGTGTCCTAATGACGTTAATATGTGCTGATGTGCTATACGAGGCGTTATATGCCACATTTCATATACACGCACATATCTGGTTACACATTAAAGTACACTTAAGCGCACAAATTAACTCAATTTTTGATTATTTATGTAATTATGTGTTGAGTTTTAAGTGAATTTATACGAGCATTAGTTTATATTAGTCCTTTGTAATGACATGTGTAGATGTGTTTATATATCATCATTACCAGTAGTAGGAGATGCTAAATTTTAGATACTGAAATTACTTTCAAGTGAAGCAGTATTAGATTACAGGATGCTTTCGCGTTTATACATTTAAATCTTTAAAAATGCAAGAATATCTGAAAAATATTACACTCTCTAATTATTATTTACGGATTTTTTATTAACTTAAAATAATTTGATTTTATTTAGTAAGATAGTTGCCAACAGCAAATTTTTACATATAGATATATATTTTTGGACTTTTTCTTAAATCTGGTTTTGAAAAACTTTTTTATGAATTTCTTTTTTAAATTAAAATACCAGTATCACAGAAAACTATTTTCAAATTTTTTTCTTAGATTATACGAACACATGAATATTGAATATGTCTTTTAGACCAATTTTTTAATAGCAATTTCTTGAACTCTGTACAGACAATAAATTGGTTTTTTTACAAATAATATAAATAATTATAATTGTTTATATATATTTACTTATATTAACCTTTTTAACCAACATAAATGAGATGAAGTGAAATGAAGAGATTATCATCAGATAGAGAGAGATGGAAGCAATTCATTGTAGCGCTAGGCTTCACCTGCGAGTGACAGGAACCAATAATCTGATATAGCCTAATATACATCTATTATCATTTAGAGATAATATTAAAAAATGTTATATATATATATATAATTTATAATTTTATATTATACAGAAAAAAAAATTGTTGTTGTTGTTGCAATTTCAACACTGATAAAAAATTTTCTTTGAATTAAAATTTACTATTAAATTTTAATCAAAAGTTATAATTTTCAGAATGAAATGAGTTTTAAAAGTAGTTCAAAAAAATAATTTAATATGCACTCCACACATTGTGTAATGGCACTAAATTCCAATTAAATTAATTTTAAAAAAATATACCATCAAAAATATCACATGTTTATTTATACTTCAAATATTTCTAAGTAAGTAAACATTAATTTCTACATAAAAAATATTTTCCGAATAATATTATTTTAGAAGCATTTTTAAAAAGTTATTTAATATGAAATTATCTTTAAAGCACTAAATTTATTAAATCAAATTTTGAAAAATATATAGCATCAGAAATATTTCTATATTACATCTTGTGGGATTTTTTTATGAAATTCAACTCAGAAATTCAAATTAATTTTTAAAAAATTAATAAAAGGCGCTTTTTATGTCAAAATATATTTCCTATTCAATGGAACAAAATATACTATAAAATATTTAGTATTGTTGTTGTTAATATTTGACATAGCAGTCTTTTCAATTAGTGATTATATACATAAATATTTTAAGTTAAACGATAATATTTAATATTTAAACGATAATAAAAACGAAAAATCAATTTTAATTAACTACTTATACTATAAAGAGCTGACTGTGTCATAAAACTTGGAACCCAATATAAATGAATGAGAAAAATGTTTTACATTTGTTTTGCAAGTTATGAGATTGAGGGAAAAGTCTCCAAGGTATAAAAGCAATCCTAATTTTAAGAATTCCTAACAAAAATAAGTGTATTAACGTTTAATAAAAGTAGGCAATATAGAATCCCTTCAGTTAGTATGTTTTCAAGCAAATTAGGTACTCAAAGAAATCTCAATTTAATAACCATTAGATGAAATATTAAAACCAAGGCAGACTAAAAGTTTAATTAAACCATTTAAGACAGTCTTTAACAGACTCCTTACACTAAACAGAAAGAATATTAACATCATCACAAGATTTTGACAGGATAATGCCAGTTGGAGTGTTTTTTCATCATAATTGAACTTTTAGAATTTAATATCTGTAGCTTCTGTGATAAGGATGCTAATATCTTCAAAATCTTCCTCTAAGTGTTGGCTTATATGAAAAACTCAAAACACAATAGGCCACCCAAATCCAGGTGCATATTACTTATAATGTAGTAATAATAAAAGTAATAGTAATGAACAAAACTATTTCTATAATGGTTAAAGTGAGTATTGCTATTTTGCTATAACTTTTTTTGTATTCCCCAAGGATATGTTGATGTTATTTTTATTTGAAACAATTTTTTTGTTGTACAATTTTTTCAATAGAATTCATAATAATTTCTTAAGAATTCATAATTCTTGTTTGATATTAACTTTCATGATAACTAATATTTTTAAGTATTAACTCAATCTGTATTCATAATTTCATACAATTTGTTTTATTGCATTTCCCCAACAAATAATAAAAAATTTATTACTGATAATCTGATTATCTTGCAATAACTAGGTTATCTAGCAATAATAAGGTTTTCTAACAACTAACTAGGTAATTGCCCGAGTATTGCTCAATTAATTCGCTATCCATCAATAGTGAGTAACATAGTGTTTCCAGTTTTGACCAGCTCTAGGGACAGAGTGCGACATTCGGGAACAATGCAATGAAAACACATTCGAATGAGATTTTCTTGGCAATACAAATCATAAAGACATTGGAACCCTTTATTTTCTATTTGGTACGTGAGTCGTAATAGTTGAAACCTCTTCAAGAATTTTAATTCGAGCTGAATTAGGACATCCCGAAGCTTTAATTGAAGATGATCAAATTTATTGTTACCGCTCATGCTTCTATTATATTTTTTTTACAGTTATGCCAATTATAATTGGACGATTTGGAAATTGATTAGTACCTTTAATATTAGTTGCGTCAGATATAACTTTACCACGATAAAATAATTTAAGATTTTGATTCATCATTACTAGAATAAATTTAAGCAGATCCTAAGTTAATGTTATATTATTTGTAGTGAAGGTATATTGCCTATCTATAACATTAACTAAGCTAAAATTCAAGTTTTCAAAGTTCTAAAAGCAAAATCTTAAGAGTCACATAGTAAATATTTCAAAATTAAATTTAAAATCAATAAGATATTCTTTAAAAGAAACTGAAAAACTGAAAAATTCTTTAGTCTTTTTTGATTCTTAAATGTGTAATCCATTAATATGTTCAAAATTTATGAAACAATTGGTAAAGAACGAATCGATACTGCACACCAACGTTCCGATTGGCGATGAATATATAAAATGGAACAAAGAAAATAGCGGAAAATTCCTTTATGCAGCCAACGGTCAATTTGATTTTTTCATCTGTCTTTCTGTCAATTACTCCATTTTTGCAGGAAGAATAATTGTAGAAGCTCAACTTAAAGCCAATTAACGCTGCTTTAGTAAAGGACACTGCAAAGGTTTATCCACTTAACTATTCCAATTTACCAGCTTTGGCTGATGTCATACCAATTAAATGAAAAATGCTTCCACTGCAAAAAACCTTTTCGCAGTCAAAGGACCCTAGTGTGAAATATATAAGGTAAGTCCCGCTGGTTGTATGCAAGAATATGCGGAGCATGACTTGTAATGGAGATGCTGTAAAGGAATCCGATCATTAATCATTCACTCTTATTTCAACAATAATGAAAAGTACTACAGAAAAACAAAGGAAGAAAAAATATTGCTATTCAGTTAGAGGTTACGAAGAGGTAAACTAAGCACATTTCTACTCGTATACCAACGCTGAGCATATTAAACTCTGCATTCGTCTTTAATGAAGGATGAATACAGAATAAAGCAAAAGTCCCGTCCTGAAAATTAAATGAATACGAAAATTTTGTATTTTAATTTGAAAGAATTTAACCTAATTTTTGTTTGTTTATTATTATTTTTTTTTTTTTTTGTATTATGCTTTACATTAGGATATTGTTTTTCAGCACCCAATTCCTTTAATATTATAAAATTTTTTGGTGCTGGGAATTTATTAAATTTTAACTTGCAGCTTAATTTAGTTCGGTTGGAAAGAAGTTTTACTGCGGAATTTCATTTCCACTCTTCTCTGAAAAATTTATTTGTAATCGTGCAAAAAAAGAACCCAAAATTAGTTGAAATTTTTAATCAAAATTGAATTGGTTAGTTTGTACTAAACTGGAAACAACCGCAAAAAGCAACCTCCAGTAAAGAATTTTATATTAATTATCAGGAACTGTGGAAAAAATGTTCGAAACTATAAAATGTTTCCTTTCTTTAATTTGTTCTTTTATCAAATTAGATAAAAAATGTTTCAGTATCTGTTTGATGAGCGAGGACGAGGAGGATAATAAATAATCATTGCACCGAAATTAGTCACTGTCAGAGAAGATACGGAAAATAGTAGAAAAAATGGTGTTTGGTGCGAAATACTTTTTTGCGAAGTGAGTTTTTAATTAAATAAATTTAATAAGTGTCCATTTTATCTGAAATGAAGTTTCCTTAAAAAGAAAAAATAATGTTATATATATTTTTTAAATTATTTGTAATAAAATTCTGTATTGTCACATGAAACGCACCAAACGTGATATTAACTTAAATGTAGTTTTTTTATGTTAATAAAAAATTTTATATATTTAATACACATTTATATATTTGATTATATAAGTGTATAAATTATATGTGATTTGAAAATATATTTAATATAAAATAATAAATTGCTTTAATACCTACGACACTACTTTACAGCCAAAAATTTTCAAAGATGAGACCTACATTTTTTATAGTGAAACTTTCCAAAGAATCATTATAATTTTCGAATTCGATATAAAATTTTGTTATAGAAAATATAGGTCTCATCTTCGGAAAATAAATTTTTTAATTATTTGCAAGCTAGCATCCTCATAGACACTACACTATCTCATTGTTATATAGCTATATCGTTATTGAAGTTTTATGTGACCTTCACAGCTGTGTTATCGATTTAAAGTAAAAAAAATTATTGAATGAAAATACTTAAAATTTGGGGAAAACATTATTGGTCGATTTTATTTATCAAGAAAACAGCTGCTGATAACAAAGTTTTCAGTGGTTTAAACGCTTCAAAAAGCTTATTTTGACATCTTATGGTGACGTTGCTATAGTTAAAGTTTTTAATGTAGTTTTTGTGCCACTTTTTTTGAACAAATCAAATGCTATTGGTAGTCACTCATAGCCAGTTAAAATTTAAGGTGTCAAGTGAGAGCAAGATCAAGAATCAAAAGTAGACTTTTAGCTCAAGAAATACTCAATATAACGATCCTTCTGACTAATTAACAATCATCAAGTACTTTTAAATCGTGACCAGGTTGTGGAAAAGCACATCAAAGAAATCGATGTTATCATTACAAGAACAAAACAAAGTGTCGGTTATGTACAAAGCAAGGTCATATTGCTGCAGTTTGTCAATCAGCAGTGACAGGTATTCAGCAGAATTCTAATTTTAAGGTTCGAAGACAGGAACAAAATAGAGCAAGAGATGTATATTCTATGAGTGATGTTTCATTTGAGTCAATTAATGCGAATGAAACAACGGAAGTTAAATCAGTTGATTCGCAACTTAGTTCATCTAAAATTTTCGTTGACCTCAATATAAATAACGAAATTTTAACATTTCAAGTAGATACTGGTGCAACATGTTCCTTAATTGGTTTGGCGGCATATAAACAATTGGGTAGACCTAGTTGTGGGCCTACGAATAAAGTTCTGAGAGCGTATGGAGGAGCTGTTATTTTTCTTAAGGGTTCTTTCAGAGTAAATGTCAAGTATGGAAATATTACTCGAAGCCTTGAGATACTTGTAGTTAACGATGAATATGTTACTAACATACTGGGATTGGATTTGTTTACAGTATTAAATTTCAAACTGCAGTTACCTGTTATTGAATGTTATGCAAATAATCCTTGTGACAGTCAACAAAGTTTAACCGCATCTCTACATGAACTCAGATGTCAACATGCTAACATTTTTTCTTCGAAATTGGGGCAAGCATTGAAGAATGCTATGATCAAAGCTACGGAACTCGTTCATTATGATGATAAGAAGCCTATAGCCTATATGGAATCGGCGCAGTAATTTCACATCGTTATGCTGATGGTTCAGAGAAGCCAATCGCGTATGCTTCAAAAAAATTAAACAGCAGCCAAGAACGCTATTCTCAAATCGAAAAAGAGGCATTAGCAATAATTTATGGACTGACCAAGTTTCATCAATATCTTTATGGAAGACGTTTTGAATTAATAACTGATCATCAAGCGTTGACAACACTGTTTAATCCGAGTAGAAAGTTGCCAGTGATGGCGTTGCATCGTTTACAGCGTTGGGCTATTGTACTTCAAGCATATGAATACATTATACGGTTCAAAAGTTCATCTCAGAATGCTAACGCTGATGCTCTTTCCAGATTGCCGTGTGGGGATGACATACAATTTGATAGAAAGGAAGTTGTGATGTTAGATGATGTCGATACTGTTTATCAAAATGCTGTGGATTATCTTCCAGTAAATGCAACATTAGTAAAGGATATGACTGCTAATGACAACACTCTTCAACGTGTTAGCAGATATGTACAAGATGGCTGGCCTGAACAATTGCCGAAATCTGAAGGTAGTATCAAACCGTACTTTAATCACAGATTTTGCTTATCATTTCAGAATGGAGTGTTACTTCTTTAAGCTGAATATACTAGAGTGGTGCTACCGAAAGCACTGCAATCTCAAGTATTAAATTTGTTACACGGGGGTCATTGGGGTAAAGGTCGTATGAAACAGATGGCAAGACGATATGTGTGGTTTCCTCTTATTGATAAAGCCATAGAACGTATTCATGAATTTTCTGCATGGCCAGAATCTAGTAGGCCGTTGGATGAGTTCATTTGGATTTCGCGGGTCCATTCTTTAAAAGTATGTGGCTCATAGTTGTGGATGCATATTCAAAATTTCCATATATTGTGGAACTATCAACAATAACAGCTGTAACAACAGTTGGAGCTCTACAAAAAATTTTTTCTATTGAAGGTCTTCCGTGCACTATTGTGACAGACAATGGAACACAATTCACTTCCAAAGAATTTCAAAAGTTTTGTAAAATGAACGCAATTCAGCATCTCACGTCTGCTCCTTTTCATCCGGCTTTATCCGACACTAAGTGCTACCGCGAAGCACTGTAATGTCGGATGCAAGTACTTTTATGAACTCAACTAAATATTGTAAACATAGCTATGTGTTGTTAGAAGTCTCAATAGATATTATCGGAAATCATTGATAAATTAATTTTGTAGAGTTATTTGTAGAGTATGGCAAGGTGATGCGGTGAATTTATGAATATTTTGATCAAATTGTTGCATTACTATGCCAAAAAATTAAGCCCCCTATTTTAAAATTTTTTGCATATTTTTAATAAAACTTATAACTATCATTATAAGAAACAGATTTTTACTGAAAATAACCTTTAAAAATATTGTTGGATGGTAATAGTTTACTACAAGTTTTAATAGTAAGTAGTTTACTTACAATTGTTTATGAGTAATAATTATACTGTAAATTTAATTAAAAGTAATACATACATCAACGTCTACACCAATGGAGATAATATCTGTAAGGTCCAAGATAAGCAAGAGTTTTCTAATCTTCATGCAAAGCAGTTGCGTTTTATATAAGATAATTTATGGTAGATAAATTATTATCGGATTTGTTATTTACTAATAATATTTTTATAATAAAATAATAAATATATTTGAAGAAGTTTCGCATAGTAGTGAGCTACAATAACAAAAATTGTTTCTACATTATTTTTTAATTAATTAAATTTTTGGCTGACCATGAGCTGTTTCGAGAATTGCCAAATAGTTATCATCAGTGGTCTTGGAAATAATTCTTGTATTCAATTGTTCATAAATAATTGATTGAGACTGTAAGTACCAG